GTCAGTAATCAGTTTTCCTGGTTGTCCCAAGAATCTTTTATAGCTATTTTTCAACTTTACCAGGACCCAGTCATAGTTCTTGCATGAACTTTAGTTATGTGTTTGGTTTGTTAATCCCACCCCAGACCTTTTTCCCTATGACATGACCTTTTTCAGAATTCAGACCAGTTGCTATTTTTGTTGAAGAATATCTTATATTCTAAATTTGTCTATTTCTTTTTGGTATAATTTAACATGTTCCTTTCTTCTTTTTAATTCCTGTGGACAGTTACTTATTTCAGTGCACAAACTGCCCAAATTTGGCTAACCGTACAGCAATTCCCTTCAGGCTAGCTCCGATTTCTGTGATGAATCCCCTATTTGTCTTTGAACACTTTACTTTCTTGCATTAGCATAGACATTTCAAGCTCACTTTGAACTTTCCCTATCCCAGAATGGGATTCACCCATTTTCCTAGGAGTCTTGATGCTAAACAAATGATTTTTTTTAACTTAATAATTCTTTTTGTTTTTTTTTTCCTCTCACAGAAGCCTCCCTCCATGTGATTCTGTTTTAAATCAGGATTATAAGTACTTGATCCAAGTATCCCAGTTAAGATAAGGTGAAATCTGGTGGTAGGGGTGGGATTCTGCTGGACCAGAAGAATTCTTTTAGTTTAAAACAATCTCTTTACTTTGCCAACCTGCTAGTAGTATAACCTGTCTCTGAACCTTCTTCCTTCAGCCTCCAATTTTTCCTCAGAATTGTTTTTTACTCCTTCCCTCATCTCCCTGTTCATTCTTCTCTGATCTTTAGTTTTATTTTTCTGTATACTGCATTTTAGAGTTAAGCTTTTAAGCTGTGCAGAATTTCCCATTTCAGCTGATAGTTTGTTTTGATGTGACTTGCTTAATACTAATTTATATGTTATTCTATGAAGGCTTTCTTTGAAGTGATTGTAATGACTGCTTATTTATCTCTGTTCTTAAATACTGTTTAAACAGACCGACATGTTAAATTCATGCCATTGTTTGATTTATACCTTTCTTTGGGTTTCTCTACCTATTGCACTCATTGGCCCAGGAGTGAGTAAAACATATATTCTCTTCATTGTACCTCACCAAATCAGTGAAGAGGGCATCTCCCCCTATTTATATGTTCCTAATATAAATCTCTCTCTCCAGATGGAAGGCTGAAATCTTATGCTAGGGAGGAACGAAAAGTGGGGCATGTTAAAATCTGGTAAGATCAAGAAATACATAAAAATAGGATAAAGATAGGGCTACAGTACCTGTTTTTATATTCTGCCACATGGCATGTATTTAAATGAATTTGCTTATAATTTCTCTCAAATGTTGACATTTAACTCCTAGGCTGTATAGTTACCTTTGGTTTTTTTTTAAAGTAAAATACATATTCTGTGACCAAGCTAATATGGTCACCTAGTACAAACATTACTGCCTATGGTAATGGCCTAAATAACAAATTTTTTTATATACATAATAGCTAGCAGAGACTCCTGCAACCACCACAAATCATCTAGTCTTTTGGAACTTGCTAACAAAAAACATAGAAATGTAAAACCAGTCTACTGGAACACAGATTTGCTTTAAAAACCTATTAGCTTATTTAGACCAAAGTTCATTGCTCTAAATTGCTGTTGTTAAAGACACCAAGTATTCAATAAGCTTCCTAATTAATGTATTCTCTAAGCTTGATAACCTGTCCTTTACCATGGACCAGCACTTCTTCTGCAAGCCATCTCTTACTGCTTTTTTATTGAAGGTTAATAATGAGAATAATGAAGCAATTGGTTATTATGCAGGCATGATTGACAAAAATTATTAGAGGAAGAATCTGCCAAGAAGCAATGATTACATCATGAAACTGTCAAGGAATACTGAAACCATTCACCATTTTTGTTATTTAAGAGATATTATTCCTGCTCTTAATCATGTTGAAAATTGACCTGTTGAAACAGTATTTATGCAAAATAATCCCATTCGACAGTGATTCTTATATGAATAGCATACATAAGTGTTAAGAAGGAGATTCAGAAATGATCTGAAGGAAAAAAGAGCCTTAGAAGGAAGTTACCATAGTTAAAAGTAAGAAACAGAACTTTGTCTTGGCTAAAACTATCTGCCAGTCACTCAGTCTACAAAGTTTAGTGAATTTTTTTGGTTGAGTATTTTCATTTTGATTACTTCTCAGATTTTAGGAGCTGTGAACAGGGGTACCTCAGGTTAGGTTTGCAAATTCTTTATCCTAGCTGGTAAAGAATATAGGAGAAAAAATACATATATGGACAGAAAATTTATAGGTTATGGTTTTATTAATGAAGCATGGATTAAACTGATGTTACACAAAATAAGACAAAGATCAAATTGCACTCTCTTTATATTTAATTTATATTTAATATAGTTAGGAACGTCCTATGTAAATTATGCAGTAATTATTTTCACCAAAACAGAATCATCATTTTTACTTCACATTTAATTTTCAATAGCTTTATCAAGATCTAATTAACATAAAACTCACCCTTTCCAAGTGCACACTTAAATTACCTTGAGTATGTTCTCAAAGGAGTACAAACACCACTGCTACCTCACTGCAGAACATATTCATTACCTTATTTGCCAAACCTTTACCTAGCAGTTACTCTTCTTTTCTTCTCCCTTAATCTCTACCAACTACAACTCTACATTCTTTCTGTAAGGACTTGCCTGTCCTGGACATTTCATAAAAATAAAATCACATAATATATGACCATTTTGGTCTGTCTTTTCTTACTTTATATGTTTTCGTGGTTGATATACTTTTTTATGACCAATATTCCATTAGTTGGTAGACATATGGGTTTTTTTCACTAATGATGCTCTGAATATGCATGTTTGAGTTTTTGTGTGGTTATGCTTTGGGTAAGAAGTTCTCTTGGGTAGAATTTCTGGGTTACATGGTAATTGTGTCTTTTTGAAACACGGCTAAATTATCTTCCAAAGTGGTGGCACAGTATTACTTTTCCTTCAGCTATGTTCAAAGTTAGTCTTTTCCATGTTTTTATCAGCATTTGCTATTAGTCTTTTTTTTTAAATTGTGGCTCTGCTAGTGGATATGATGCAGTTTCTCGCTGTGATGTCAGTTCCCATTTCCCTAATGACTGTTTATGTTTAGCATCTTTTCTAGTGATTCTTGGCCATTTATATATTTTCTTTTGAGAAAGCTACTCCCACCCCCTCTTTTTTTATTTTGGTACTGGGGACTGAACTTGGGACCTTGCACTTGGGAGGCAGGCAGCATAACCACTGATCTAAATCCCCAGCCCTATTCTTCCCATTTTGAAATCAGGCTAATAATCTTTTTTTTTAATCTTATTGAGTTTATTGGTACTTTTTGAGTATACAGTACAGTTACATTCATCACTGGGATCTTGTACCTTTACATGACAGATCTTGGTTCTCATTTTTTCCCCATTCCCCTGCCCTCCCTTAACCCTCTCCATCCTCCCCTATTTACAAACACTTTGTTTCCATTTTTTCCTTTTCTCATATTTTTTCTTGACCCTTATTTCCTTTCCCCTATTCTTCCCACTTCCCCTACACCTTTAGCCCTTTACTTCCTATTTCACATTATCAGTTATATAATTTATATTTTTAGTTTTTCACAGCAGAGAAACTATTCAGTATTTACACGTGTGTTATTTATTTCACTTAAGAATATGGCCCCAATATGCATCCATTTTCCTATGAATGACTCTAGTTTCTCATTCTTTATGGCTAAGTAGTACTCCATTTTATAGAAAAACCACATCTTCTTTATCCAGTCTTCAACTGATGGTCAAATGGACTGTTTCCAACTTTTAGCTATTACAAAATGTGCCGCTATAGTCATGGGTGTGCATTTATCACTGTGGGATGATTCTTTTAATTCTTTTGGAAAGATACCCAGCAGAGGGATAGATGGGTCAAGTGGAGCCTCTAATCCTAGTTCTTTGAGTTATACACAGATAATGACTTTTAGGGTAAGTTGAAAATTAGAAAAAACTTTTCTTATTCAATAAATAGCACCAGGTATGTGAACAGAGAGCTAGCATAAAGTTACAAAAATATATGCTAATAGTGAATTCATTCCTAAATGACTAGTGACAGACATTTTGCAGGGTACATCAGAAGGCAAAAGACTACTTAGCAATCATCACTGAAGCTCTATTTTGAAAAAAAAATCTAGATTTGGAGCAAAAAGAGACTGGGGAATTAAGGATTCTCAGCGGTGACTATTGTCTATCGGAGGCTTTGTTGAATAACACAGCAAATGTTGGGCAGGCAAAAAAATGAGAAAGAGGTGGCATGTAGTAGGCTAATAATCTTTTGCTTGTTGTGTACAAGGTCTTTATATAGTTTGGATTCAAGTCCTTTATCATGTATTGATTTCCAAATATTTTCTTTCATTCTAAGGGTTGTCATTTTAATTTCTTAATAGTATTTTTTAAAGCACAAAGAGTTCTAAATTTTAAATTCAATAGATCTATTGTTTTGTGGATTGCTTGTGCTTCTAGGTGATTGTCGCCTAATCCAAAGTCACAAATATGTACTTCTAAGTTTTTTTTAAGAGTTTTAAATAATTTTAGCTCTTACATTTAGATCAGTGGTTTATTTTCATTTTATGTTTAGAATGGCTTGAAGTAGGAATTCCTTTGTATGCCTGCATTTGTTTTACTTTTCAGAGTTAAAGAATTGAGGCAAATAACTTTTGACTAGGATAACCATTACTACTCTCTGAATTATTCTTTCATGATACACACACACACACACACACACACACACACACACATACATAGAGAGAGAGAGAGAGAGAGAGAGAGATCGTATACATCAGTTTTCAGCTGATGACATTATACTCACCATTCTCTTGCCAAATACTACATTTCTATCTCTGTTTTATTGGAATCTGAAAAAGCAGTACTTATGTATGCAGTTTGAATCATTTTTTTAGTTATTTTTTCCCTTAATGTTCAATCTCACCTCTTCAGCTACAATATAGAGAATGCCAAGAACTTCTAAGTCTGTATCAGAAATACCTATCAGAACAGCAAGAGAAGCTCACCATATCTCTCTCAGAACTGAGTGCTGCTAGAATGCAAGAGCAACAGGTAAGCATCTTTATTCTTATCCTTTCTTGTCTCTAATGGATCAGCAAGATGTCAGAAGTGTCATTTGCCTTTTATGTTAGTAGTCTCACACTATATATTATTGTCATAAAATACGCAAATACAAAATGTGATTGAGCTGATGTCTTTTACTCTTTCTCTTTCCTTTTCCTTTCCTATTCCTCGGGTCAGATGTCATGAATAAGAACTTGAAGCAGCCTGTGGATTAGTGAGGGAACTCTTTTTTTTTCAGCTTTAATTGAGTTTATTGGTACATTTTAGGTATACAGTACAGTTACATTCATTGTTGGGATCTTGTACCTCTACATGACAAGTCTTGATTCTCATTTTTTCCCCTTACCTCTGCCCTCCCTTCACCCCCTCCTCCCCTCCCCATCTGCAAACACTTTATTTTCGTCTTTTCATTATCTCACATTTTTTTCTTTTCCCTTTTTACTCTTCCCCTACCCATCCCACCTTCCCTACACCTTTAGCTCCTTTCTTCCCATTTCACAATGTCAGTAATCTTATTAGGATCTTATGCATTATTGCAGATTATTCACACCAGGGAAACTATTTGGTATTTACACATGTGTGACTTACTTATTTCACTTAGGAGTATATCTTCAATATGTATCCATTTTCCTATGAATGAATCTATTTTCTCGTTCTTTATGGCTGAGTAATATTCCATTTTATAGAAAAACCACATCTTCTTTATCCAGTTTCCAACGGATGGGCAAATGGGCTGTTTCCAAGATTTAGCTATTACACATTGTGCCGCTATAAACATGGGTGCCCATACTTCTCTGTGATATGATTCTTTTAGTTCTCTTGGAAAGATACCCAACAGAGGGATGGCTGGGTCAAATGGAACCTCCAGTCCAAGCTCTTTGAGGTATCTCCATATTGATTTCCATAGTGGTTGCACTAGTCTGCACTCCCACCAACAATGGAGAAGGGTTCCTTTCTCCCCACAACCCCGCCAACATTTGTTATTGTGTGATTTCTTGATAGCAGCCATTCTTTGTGGGGTGAGGTGGAATCTCAGTGTTGTTTTCATCTGCATCTCTCGAATGACCAGTGATGTGGAACATTTTTTCAAATATTTTCTTGCTGCTTTTACTTCTTTGTCTGAGAAATGTCCATTTTGGATGCCCATTTTTGAATTGGGTCTTTATATTTGGGGGGACTGATTGTTTTGAGTTCTTTATAGATCCTTGATAATAGTCCGTTATCTGAGGAACAGCTGGTAAAAGTTTTTTCCCACATTGTAGATTGTCTCTTAGTTCTGCTGATGGTTTCTTTTGAAGTACAGAAGCTTTTTAGTGAGATGAGATCCCAGTTGTTGATTCTGCTAGTTCCCGTGCTACTGAGGATTTATTCATAAAGTCTTTTCCTATACCAATGTCTTCCAGAGTTCTGCCTAACTTACCTTCCAGCAAGTTTAATGTTTCTGTTTTGGTATTTAGATCTTTAATCCACTTGGATTTTAATTTAGTGCATGGCGAAAGATAAGGGTCTAATTTTAATCTGTGGCAGGTGTGACATGCAGTTTTTCCAACACCATTTATTAAAGAGGCTATCTTTCCTCCACTGAGCATGGTCAGCTCCTTTGTCAAAGATGAGGTAGCTGAGTACATCTGGGTTTGTTTTTGTGTCTTCCAGTCTGTTCCACTGATCCTCAGGCCTATTTCTTTGCCAGTACCATGCTGTTTTTATCACAGTGGCTTTGTAGTATAGTTTCACATTGGGAATTGTTATACCTGGTGCCATGTGTCTGTTGCCTAGGATGGCTTTTGCTATTCTAGGTGTCTTATGGTTCCAAATGAATTTTTGGATTTTTTTTCTAGTTCTTTTTTTTTCTAGGAGCCCAGCAGTGTGGTGGTATAGTTTTGTGAAACAAGAAACATGAGTTAAACTGGAGATAGCTAAAAATTGTTGAAAATTTTCTTCAGATATCCTTATTTCATGACTAACTTTCCTTAACTCTTAATAATAGGTTTTTGAACACTAGAACATACATACTAGACATGGGGAGAACTACTTCTTTCCTTGTAAGAAGCCGCAATGTCAAATAAAACATAAAATTTTATTCTTAAAATAACAAATTTTAATTTTGTGTCCAGATTTGGTATTGGGAATGGTAGCTCATTTTTTGTAAGGAACTTGTCTTTGAGAGATTTGTTCTGTTTTTTTCTTTGTGTCAGCTGCCATCTGCTAAGATTACATACTACAGGGTTTTCTTACAGTTTTATTAAATCCATAGTTCTCCATAGTTTTATTAAGCACATATCCTAGCTTATGATTTTATATTTCAACTTCTCCTGTTTCCTTGGAAATAAAATGATTCATCTACAAGGTTTTTTTTTTTTCTTCTTTGCTCCTTACTCTCTTTCTTGCTTTGTCTCAAAGATGAATGCATTCCTCATTCATTTTGTAATTCATTCAGCTTGACAAGTTCTTCATTATGGGTTCTAGGATGTTCTTCACTTGTTCTCTTTAAATTGAAGCATTTCATTGACATATGTGCATCACTTCATATCTCATCTTTTTAAAAATTAATTTTATTGGTACATTTGAGGTATACAATATAATGATGTTTATCATTGCAAATTTTCACCTTTACATAATCCATCTTGGTTCTTATTTTTCCCCTCTCCTCTGCCCTCCAGTTAACCCCTACATCCTCCTTTTCTGCAAAGACTTTATTTCCATTTTTTCCTTTTCTCATATTTCCACTCCCTTTTTCCCGCACACTCCCATTTCCCCTTTGCACCTTTTCTTCCTTTTTCACATTATCTATTATACCTTTTAGTCCTTATTTATACTTTTACCCCAAAGAATTAAAAGAATCATACCCCAATGATATATGTGCACCCGTGTTCATAGCAGCACAATTTGTAATAGCTAAAACTTGGAAGCAGCCCAGTTGCCCCTCAACGGGAGACTGGATAAAGAAAATGTGTGGTGTTTTGTTTTTGTTTTTAATAAAATGGAGTCCTACTCAGCTATACAGAATGAGAAACTAGAAACATTTATAGCTAAATAGATGCATATTGAGGCAATACTCTTAAGTGAAATAAATAGGACTTCATGTCTCATCTTAAGACATAGTGCTTACCCATTGTATAATCTTAGTCTTGGATAGATATAGAAGGATATAATAATTGTAGTTGTGGCACATGTACATATTAGAATATTGCCACAATTGAGTGTTATTTTAATATTATGTATCTAAATTTAAAAACATCTCAAACTATAATGCTTATAACTTCTATTTTCATCTCATTTGATACAATTTAAAAAGTGTATTTTTTCTGTACTATTTATATTAAGACAGCATTTTGAATAGCTTTTCCTCTTCTAGTTTGACAGTGTTGGTGTGCAAACCTACCTTAATATTTCTATCATTTTGGCACATAAATATAAAGAAGTAGCTTTAGAATTTTTTCTGGGATTTCTCTTTTCTTTAAAGTGAATAAAATTATCACTTTTTAAGCTATTAAAGTGGATATTGATGAATCATTGCTGTTCTGATTTGGTTAAAATACTTATACAGAAACTTCATTTTCCCAATGACTACTTATCCCATGTCTTTTAATATAGAATTGGGTCATGTACTGGTCAGGAATCTAAAATATGCTAAAGGTAAATCATTGCTATGTCCATGTGTAATGTCTCTTAGTGATTTCTACCACTGTTGTTGTTGTAGCTTTATTAAAAGAGTTTTGGTAGTGCTTAGGGCCACACAGTCTTGAAATTACTTCATATCCTTTGTCTATTTTCATTAATTTTGTTGCTTAAATTTTAAGTACCAACATATAGACATATAGTAATAAAGTTCCTTATTTAATTCTCTCTAATTTTATTCTTTGTATTTTACTGTTTTTAATGTATAATATGTATGTAATTTCTTATTTAATAGAAGCTACATTTGAGCTACACTACCACTTTGTTATAATAAGCTCTAACTTTATCAATAATTCAAGAAACTTGACAATACTTCTAATTGACAAAAAGAAAACAAATTTAAGGTGTCATAGTCTTTATACTAAGTTACTCACAAAATAAAAGGTTAAAAGGGAAAAGAAAAATAGTATTAACAGTTGACTTCTCATCAGAAACAATGGAAGACAGCAATAGTGGGATGACATATTCAAAGAACTAGGCTAGGGTACCTTTAGAAATTAAGCAAAACTATTATTCAAAAATGAAAATCACATAAATATGTTGCCAAATGCTACTATAAATGCTATACTAGTTGATAGTGTATCTGCCTTATGATGAATCTTAATCAAAGTCTGTTCAGATAAAAGGAAATAACATAAATCTGTGACTTAAATTAACAGAGAGAAAAAGAGCACCAGTAATGGTAATTGTGTGTTTTTCTCTCAAGTAAAGTTACAGATACCCCACTAAAACAATAATTAGAAACTATCTTGAATAATTTGTAAGGTATAAAGATAATGCGTGTACGTGTGCACATTTGTACAAAGCAGAGAAAGGAGCTATGTTTGAACACATTTCCTATATATTTCTGGAATTATGTAAGTTGAAAGGAAGTAAAACAGTCTAATCACAAATAATGGGATCCCTCTATGTAGAAAATCTGAAGATTAGGGACTGGGGAATTAGCTCAGTGGTGCCTCCACCTGCCTCATAAGCACAAGGTCCTGAGTTTGATCCCCAGTACAAAAAAAAAAAAAAAAAAAAAAAAAAAAAGAAAGAAAGAAAGAAAGGAAAGAAAAAAGAAAATCTAAAGATTAAAAAAACTGACAAAATTAATCAGTGCAGAATACATGATACATATGCAAAAGTCAGTTCCATTTGTGATTGGTACCGCTGAACAATTAGAAAAGAATATATTTAACAAAAGAAGTGTAAAACTTGTACAATAAAAACTACAGAATATTGCTGAAAGCTTTAAAAAATCTAAATTAATGAAATTAGATTTCAAGTTCATGGATTATTGGACTCAAATGTTAAAATGGAATCTCTTT